AAAAAAAAAAAAAAAAAAAAAAGAAAAAAAAAGTGGAAGAATTTTTGTTGTAAAAAAATCTCTATTTGAAGTGAAGAGGATACACGCGCATATATAAGTAATAAAAGGGAAGCGCGTTTTTTATTGGTGCGTAATATGCGAGAATATAATATTTCAAGTGTGTAAAAATTGGCGGCGGAAACGAAAAAAATCGGAGATTTTTTCGAAAAATTGTTATCGATACGATTATGGTGTGATTAATCGAATCACGATTTTTTTCGAGACACCCGGTGTATGTTTATTTTTTTTTTTTTCTTCTTTCTCCTCGTACTACTGCGTACTACTGACATTAATTTGACAGAACTTTAATTCGACACGAATTTGAAAAATTGAAATGTTATATCTATCGTTTGTTGATACGATTCGAGAGAAGATTATTGATTTTATTTAAGAAACGAAAATAATCTATATGAAAAATTGTTTTTAAGATGGATATCAAATATGTAAAGGAAAAGAAAAAAAAAAAATGTAAATATTTCATATAATAACCGAATGATATTGTTTAGGATACATCACATCGCATAGAGGACCATTGAGATTTTCTGTTCGTGGAAACGTGCTATAAACGTTAATTTATTTGCACATTTTCATTTTCAAGTTTCGACGATGAAACTTGCTCGATTTCTTCGGTATCTCGTGTTAAAGGCCCTCATCGGACCAGCCACACCTAATCACACAAATGTACATACTTATATTGCACTAATTTTAATATTGCCGCTGAGTATTATAACTAGTCATATAAGCCAAAAGTTTGTTACTCTCGTAAAGTTTTCTTTTTTCTCAATTTTGTAATAAAGAATGATGAGCAAAGTCCTTGAATTGACTTTTTCTTTGTTATTTACAATCCCATACCAACGTAACGTAGAAAATAATTCAATCGAATATCAGATTTGTCAAATTTTACCTTATTAAAGTTACAGCATATTATTGCCCTATATCGCGATATCCATAATGTCCAACCATGCCCTACGATGGGTACAAATATATGTGATATATCTATTATTCAATCCAGATTAAAATATCCAAAGGGAATTTGTAAAATCTTGATTGGATTGCAGATAGTTATAATTCTTAATTTGGCATCGTTTTCCAAACAGTAATTTTATTAACACGATCCGTCTAATATAATTTTTCCAATTTAATCTAATTTCATTTAAAGATTGCTTTTGCAAACCAATTACCACTATGCGGACTAGGATCGTTCGTAAAAAATATAATGTGAATAAATTATGTACAAAATTAAATTAAAAGTTAAGAAAATAAAAAAAACCTAAGATATAAGAAAGAAATGTAATATAAAAATTAAATAAGTTTAAAAAATCTAAAACATTTAAACTGAGAGAATTAAGATTTTTTTTTTTTTAATGCTAAAAATATCCCTTCAAAAACACTTATAATTTATAAAAATTGAATGATATAGATATTAAGATTTTTAATCAATAAATTGGACAGAGATGCAATAAAGTTAATCGGAAATTGGGTTAGTGCACGAATTTATAGAGTAAATGCAGACAAGGAAAGGGAATAGTGAGAGAAAAACAGAGATAAGGTAAAAATATTGAAATCAACGCCATCTTCAGAGTGCTGCAAATGAAACTCATAAAGAAAAAAGAAGAAATAATACGAAAAAGATAGATATAGAGTAAGAATTGACTGTTACCGCCATCTCTTGTCAAAAACATCTTTCAAAGAGTTTTTCTCAAGAG